TAGTGACTAAAGAACAAAGACTCATTAGTGACTAAAGAACAAAGACTCATTAGTGACTAAAGAACAGAGACTAATTAGTGACTAAAGAACAAAGACTCATTAGTGACTAAAGAACAGAGACTAATTAGTGACTAAAGAACAAAGACTCATTAGTGACTAAAGAACAGAGACTAATTAGTGACTAAAGAACAAAGACTCATTAGTGACTAAAGAACAAAGACTCATTAGTGACTAAAGAACAGAGACTAATTAGTGACTAAAGAACAGAGACTAATTAGTGACTAAAGAACAGAGACTAATTAGTGACTAAAGAACAGAGACTAATTAGTGACTAAAGAACAGAGACTAATTAGTGACTAAAGAACAAAGACTCATTAGTGACTAAAGAACAAAGACTCATTAGTGACTAAAGAACAAAGACTCATTAGTGACTAAAGAACAGAGACTAATTAGTGACTAAAGAACAAAGACTCATTAGTGACTAAAGAACAGAGACTAATTAGTGACTAAAGAACAAAGACTCATTAGTGACTAAAGAACAGAGACTAATTAGTGACTAAAGAACAAAGACTCATTAGTGACTAAAGAACAAAGACTCATTAGTGACTAAAGAACAAAGACTCATTAGTGACTAAAGAACAAAGACTCATTAGTGACTAAAGAACAAAGACTCATTAGTGACTAAAGAACAAAGACTCATTAGTGACTAAAGAACAAAGACTCATTAGTGACTAAAGAACAGAGACTAATTAGTGACTAAAGAACAGAGACTAATTAGTGACTAAAGAACAAAGACTCATTAGTGACTAAAGAACAAAGACTCATTAGTGACTAAAGAACAAAGACTCATTAGTGACTAAAGAACAGAGACTAATTAGTGACTAAAGAACAGAGACTAATTAGTGACTAAAGAACAGAGACTAATTAGTGACTAAAGAACAAAGACTCATTAGTGACTAAAGAACAGAGACTAATTAGTGACTAAAGAACAGAGACTAATTAGTGACTAAAGAACAAAGACTCATTAGTGACTAAAGAACAAAGACTCATTAGTGACTAAAGAACAAAGACTCATTAGTGACTAAAGAACAAAGACTCATTAGTGACTAAAGAACAGAGACTAATTAGTGACTAAAGAACAAAGACTCATTAGTGACTAAAGAACAAAGACTCATTAGTGACTAAAGAACAAAGACTCATTAGTGACTAAAGAACAGAGACTAATTAGTGACTAAAGAACAGAGACTAATTAGTGACTAAAGAACAGAGACTAATTAGTGACTAAAGAACAGAGACTAATTAGTGACTAAAGAACAGAGACTAATTAGTGACTAAAGAACAAAGACTCATTAGTGACTAAAGAACAAAGACTCATTAGTGACTAAAGAACAGAGACTAATTAGTGACTAAAGAACAAAGACTCATTAGTGACTAAAGAACAGAGACTAATTAGTGACTAAAGAACAAAGACTCATTAGTGACTAAAGAACAAAGACTCATTAGTGACTAAAGAACAAAGACTCATTAGTGACTAAAGAACAGAGACTAATTAGTGACTAAAGAACAAAGACTCATTAGTGACTAAAGAACAAAGACTCATTAGTGACTAAAGAACAGAGACTAATTAGTGACTAAAGAACAAAGACTCATTAGTGACTAAAGAACAAAGACTCATTAGTGACTAAAGAACAAAGACTCATTAGTGACTAAAGAACAAAGACTCATTAGTGACTAAAGAACAAAGACTCATTAGTGACTAAAGAACAGAGACTAATTAGTGACTAAAGAACAAAGACTCATTAGTGACTAAAGAACAGAGACTAATTAGTGACTAAAGAACAAAGACTCATTAGTGACTAAAGAACAAAGACTCATTAGTGACTAAAGAACAAAGACTCATTAGTGACTAAAGAACAAAGACTCATTAGTGACTAAAGAACAGAGACTAATTAGTGACTAAAGAACAGAGACTCATTAGTGACTAAAGAACAAAGACTCATTAGTGACTAAAGAAAAAAGACTCATTAGTGACTAAAGAACAAAGACTCATTAGTGACTAAAGAAAAAAGACTCATTAGTGACTAAAGATCAAAGACTCGTTAGTGACTAAAGAACAGAGACTAATTAGTGACTAAAGAATAGAGACTCATTAATGACTAAAGAACAAAGACTCATTAGTGACTAAAGAACCAAGACTCATTAGTGACTAAAGAACCAAGACTCATTAGTGACTAAAGAACCAAGACTCATTAGTGACTAAAGAACAAAGACTCATTAGTGACTAAAGAACAAAGACTCGTTAGTGACTAAAGAACAAAGACTCGTTAGTGACTAAAGAACAGAGACTTGTTAGTGACTTAAGGACAAAGACTCATTAGTGACTAAAGAACAAAGACTCATTAATGACTAAAGAACAAAGACTCATTAGTGACTAAAGTACAAAGACTCATTAGTGACTAAAGAACAAAGACTCATTCGTGTCTAAAGAACAGAGATCCATTAGTGACTAAAGAACAGACTCATTAGTGACTAAAGAACAGAGATTCATTAGTGACTAAAGAACAACGACTCATTAGTGACTAAAGAACAAAGACTCATTAGTGACCTAGGAACAAAGTGGGTACACAGTTAACAATTCCACTACCTACCTTTTTCAGCGAGGATATACTTTCCCGGCTGAGCAACGAAACTGTCCCTGTTATTCCAGCCGACCCCGGTTTTCTCTCGGAACATTTTTTTGAAAGACTTCATCGCCTCCTTCATGTTGGGTTCTCGGGCTGCATGCCATTTGCCGTCTTCTCCCTAAATTCCGAAGTGATGTAGCAAGAGCGTTAGAGAGAAAATAAATCTAATATGAAAATAGGAGAAAGGAGAGAGAGAAAAAAAGGCATCTTTGGTATATACAAAAGGTTCTGCAAGGTAAAATTTATGAAAACTTGAGGAAATGTATTTCAAACTACAACCGGCAGGTATAGCATGTACGTAAATGTCATGTGCACTACTTGTCCACCCTATTTTACCATTTTCCTTGAATTTTTAAAAATATTTTATGTTATCTTATATTGCAATTACTAATGTAAGAAGCATTATAGTAATCAGGATGTATATAATAAAAATAACACCACTGAAACTGGTAGCACTATTAAAAAAAAGATTTTCCCGCAAATTTCAGGAAAGGTGAAATCAAGTAAGGTCACAAGGTCTGCTAACCAAGTCCTTTGTGGCTAAGCACATGCACAGCCATCTCTGAGTAGACACATTTCACCAAAAAATCTAAAATGCGCACAACATATTTCCAGCAACATTAGGATTAGGGCAGAGGATGAAGTGCCTATGTTTAAATATCATAGACTAGATTTGATACCACAGCGATACAAAGATATAAGGAAGAACCAAGATAAGTAACAAATCCAATAATATAGACAACTTCAAAAGAAAAGAAAAGATGAAGAAGAAGAAGAAAAAAGAAAAGATAAATAATATTAATCTCATTGCTCTTCTTTCCCATTATACACAATCTCTACATACTTCGATAACAAGTATTTGAGTGTCCACAGCCTAACCTTGAGTCCTGAGCGCATAAAGAAGACGTATTTTTCTTTGAAACATGCCACCTGCAGGAGACAGTACTTGGTTTCTTCCTTTTCTGTCTTGTAAAGCATGCAGGTGTAATCCTCATGGATTTTCACCTGCAATGTCACAAGTAAAAAAATTTCATTACACACAAATAACTATGAAAGAACCTAAATATGATATTTCAATTGTATCTGTGATCCCTAGCTGTCAAAATTACTATAATTGTGATCTTTATAATAGTTACAGGTCAATTATCCTTTTAAATCTTGCTTTACAAGAAAAACATTTTCCCAAAATATCTAAATATGTGAAAAATGACAAAAGAATTTCTTGTAATTATTCAACAAACAAATTATTGAAGGAACTTAACAACATGGGTCATCATGGCTAAAAGAAATGATTCAGGATGTACGTGAAACACTCAGAATGAAAGTGAACAAGACCTTTCATCACGTAAATGACAAAATATATTTTTACCAATCCTCAGAGTGAGATCATCATAAAAAATGCCACTACAAAAGTTAGTGCTGCTACTCTTATGAATAGTAATATTGCTAATTATATCACCATCTCCTTTTACTACTTAATAAGACTAATACGCTACCTTATTATTAGTGCGGCTACGAAGGACAATATCAGGTATGGGTTTCTTACGAGGTCTAAGGGGCCGACCTGAAAGCTTTGGCACTGGTGATCCCTTGGGGCTCGCATTGTTCTCTGTTCGTACCCGTTTGCTAATTGGAGACCTGTGGGAGACGTTTGTTAGTGAAAGATGGCAAAAACAATGGAAACTACTGAATACAATGCTTTCGGATACAACTAGTCCAGCTCTCATGTTTCAGCATAATCCTAGACAGAAGGTGGATAAAGCCACGTGGCAAGCCTTTCAGAATGACTTGGCCCAATGCCTTAGAAGTAGTGAGGTCCAACTGAATGACAGAGTGGGTGCACCTGAGGCTAGACAAGTCAAAGTCATAAACAGGGGACCTTGAGGCCCTCAAGGACCATTCCTAAAACTGAACCATGGCCCAGAAGACGTGAGAGGACATCTCGGTACTACAGACAGAGAAAGAGAGAGACAGACAGACAGAGAAAGAGAGAGAGAGAGAGAGAGAGAGAGACAGACAGACAGAAAGAGAGAGAGAGACACACAAACAGAGAAAGAGAGACAGACAAACAGAGAAAGAGAGAGACAGAGAGAGGCAGACAGACAGAGAAAGAGAGAGACAGACAGACAGAGAAAGAGAGAGACAGACAGACAGAGAAAGAGAGAGACAGACAGACAGAGAAAGAGAGAGACGACAGACAGACAGAGAAAGAGAGAGACAGAGAGAGACAGACAGACAGAGAAAGAGAGAGACAGACAGACAGACAGACAAAGAGAGGGACAGAGAGAGACAGACAGACAGAGAAAGAGAGACAGAGAGACAGACAGACAGAGAGAGAAAGAGAAAGAGAGAGACAGACAAACAGAGAAAGAGAGAGACAGAGAGAGACAGAGAGACAGACAGACAGAGAAAGACAGACAAACAGAGAAAGAGAGAGACAGAGAGAGGCAGACAGACAGAGAAAGAGAGAGACAGAGAGAGGCAGACAGACAGAGAAAGAGAGAGACGACAGACAGACAGAGAAAGAGAGAGACGACAGACAGACAGAGAAAGAGAGAGACGACAGACAGACAGAGAAAGAGAGAGACAGAGAGAGACAGACAGACAGAGAAAGAGAGAGACAGACAGACAGACAGACAAAGAGAGAGATGGAGAGAGACAGACAGACAGACAAAGAGAGAGACAGAGAGACAGACAGACAGAGAAAGAGAGAAACAGAGAGAGACAGACAGACAGAGAAAGAGAGAGAAAGACAGACAGAGAAAGAGAGAGACAGACAGACAGAGAAAGAGAGAGACAGACAGACAGAGAAAGAGAGAGACAGACAGACAGAGAAAGAGAGAGACAGACAGACAGAGAAAGAGAGAGACAGACAGACAGAGAAAGAGAGAGACAGACAGACAGAGAAAGAGAGAGACAGACAGACAGAGAAAGAGAGAGACAGACAGACAGACAAAGAAAGACAAAGAGAGAGACAGACAAACAGAGAAAGAGAGAGACAGACAGACAGAGAAAGAGAGAGACAGACAGACAGAGAAAGAGAGAGACAGACAGACAGAGAAAGAGAGAGACAGACAGACAGAGAAAGAGAGAGACAGACAGACAGAGAAAGAGAGAGACAGACTGACAGAGAAAGTCTAGTGACCTGTTCTCGTGATCTCCCTCGTCTTACATACCAGAAAAGCCATGTGTTCCTTATCTCACAGTAATTCCACTGTCCTCAGCCGACTCCAGTAGGTCTACACCCGTGAAAATGACAAATGACCTTAGAACCCGCTATTTCAACCCTTATTGCTTGTGAACAATTTCCCATGCTGTTATTTCGTTGTCTATGTGCTTAACTATGTGTTGTTTATACTTGAAATGTTCGTTAGAAAATGCTTATTCTAAATTGCTATGTATGTTGCCGTTAACATTGCCTAAATTCAATATGTCTTTATGTTTTGTGTATACTCAGCATTTTTGTCTCCTTATCGCGAAGCTTTTTAGTCTTGTAAACACCATAGATCTTCTTACACACAACCGTGTGTATAAGGTACCCTTGTTCCTTCACCACGAAACCACCATGTGACCATATGTATAGGAATTTATGTTCATTCAGATTCTTTCATGTTTTTCATTATGAAATGTTTAAAAACGAAGTTTGCTGATAGAAATTTCTGAGCAGTTCAGAGAGACCGCTCGCCACGGCGGGCCGGGCAGGTCGCCCCGCTCTTCCCTGAGCGTCCCTGCCTTGCCCGTCCTCTGTATCCCACCTACCACGCTACCGCAGAATAAAGACTTGAAGCTGTATCAACTTTAACTATCAACTCCACGACACTTCAAGAAACAATCAGAGTACCACACAGAAGAAAGAAAGAGGGGATATAAAACCAACTACATTACATAATTTGGTGGCATCGCACTGGGATATCAAATCCACACATATATTACATTGGTGCCAGCGCTCTGGGATCATCGCACCACACGAAGTCCTCCGAAGAAAACGCACCGTACAAGCACGCTCAAGAAAACCTATCGACTCCTTCAAGCAGAGACACCTTGTCGACTTCTGTTACTGAAAGACTTCACCTCAAGATACAGCTGCGATTTCCTGATATCAAGCACGAAGCCAGTCTTCCCTGCCAAGCTGACGTCGCTCTCTCAGCGCACAGTACTTCAACACCTGTCGCAGTCTTCCACTTTTGCTGCAGTTGCCTGACGCCCGCAACATCGATCAACACTGCCTGCCAGTACCTCAAGGTGAGTTCCTTTATCCTCGCTGTTCTCATTGTTTAGGAAATCCCCTGTGAAGTGAAGTGTCTGATTTCCTCTCGCTCTCGCGAACACCTGTGTTCCTCCCCTCATAGAAAACGAGATCTCCCCTCAGCTGACATCTGTCGCACTCACCCGGCGCTCGCCTCCCCTCACTCACTCATGCCCTGCGGTTTGCCTAACTTTCTCTTTGGTAGTATCATTCCCTTGTAGTTTGTTAACCTATATTACTTAGTTTCTTAATAACCTACGTCGTAATGATTTCCGAATCTACACAATGCTGAATTTCAGTTCATTCGTTATGAACTATTTTACGGGAAAATCTTTCCTGCATTTGTTTGCATGTTTTTGCATAACTGCCTTCATTAGAAAATCCTTCCTGTTTCCTAACATGTTACTAACCTTAATCAACTCCCCATTAACCCTGCATTTCCGCATGCAGCTACTCTCATTTCCCTGAAGGAAATATATTCTATGGCTTATCTACCTACATTTTTCATGGGAATATCAGTTGACCTGCATACTTGCACATGAATTTTACTTATCATTTTTGTGAAGAATAATTTTTACGTTTACATGGCTCTGTAAGATCATAATTTTCTCGAGATTTTATCCTACAATTTAGATAATTCACTACTGCCTTCTGTCAATCAGGTGAATGTTGCAATTAACACTATTTTGAATCCCTGACACGTTGCTTCCAGTCATTTCCTAATCGTTTTGAGTTCGTGTTGATATTGTAACTCCCTGAGATATGGCATTACGTCTTCTGTCCCCAAGACATGGTACTGTTGTTTTCGTTCGTTGTCCTCAGAACCAGACGCCCTGTGCTGAAGCCCACTGCTGACCTTGACCCTCGGATCACCACGTCGTCGTACGAAGCCCCCGTTCCCTGGCGCACGAAGCCGCCATTCACGAAGCCGCCGCTCCCTGGCGCACGAAACCCCCGTTCCCTGGCGCATGAAGCCGCCGTTCACGAAGCCGCCGCTCCCTGGCGCACGAAGCCCCCGTTCCCTGGCGCACGAAGCCGCCGTTCACAAAGCCGCCGCTCCCTGGCGCACGAAGCCGCCGTTCACAAAGCCGCCGCTCCCTGGCGCACGAAGCCGCCGATCCCTGGCGCATCAAGTCTCGCTCGCCCGTTAACGAGCCCATCTCACGGACGTTCTCGCTCCCGCATCACCCGACGCCCTTCGTTCTCTACTGCACGTCGCTGCAACTTCGGCCGTGTCCGCCGCCTCGTCCGCTGGTGATTGCCGCCTAACGTCCTCGTCGTATCTCGTCTCGTCTCGTATCGCCCGACGTCCTCGTCGCATATCGTCTCACTCACCACACCTGATGCCTGTGCTGGTGACCCTGGCAAGAGTGGTCCTGCCTTGCCTGTCGGAACTCGTGACACCAACGCCCTGGTGCTCCTCCTCTCAAGAAATAACGAATTCTCCCCGCCAACGATGTGATCCTGATTCTTCGAAGAAGACCTCGTTCTCATGATTCTACGCTCAGCACTCGTCCCCTCGCCAGAATCTTCTAGACCGGTGTGCGTGTGATTTACGAATGACACGGCGCTTGACAAGTTAACTGCATCTTCCAGCGATCCTGTGGAACGATTGACCAGCTCCGTGACTGATCACCACTGCTGCTTCCGTCAAGACCACCTGCGCTTCGGAACAGTGACCTGTAACAAGCTCCCTAGGCCGCCAACCTTAGAAGTTACCTGTGCGACCTTCTCTCCTGCAAGATGCGAGACTCCCTGTGTCACTTCCCTCCGTCACCTGTCTCCCGTCATCCACCTGCATCGTCTACCCCAGAATCGAGGACGATTCTTCTTAGGTGACCGAGCGATCTAGTGACCTGTTCTCGTGATCTCCCTCGTCTTACATACCAGAAAAGCCATGTGTTCCTTATCTCACAGTAATTCCACTGTCCTCAGCCGACTCCAGTAGGTCTACACCCGTGAAAATGACAAATGACCTTAGAACCCGCTATTTCAACCCTTATTGCTTGTGAACAATTTCCCATGCTGTTATTTCGTTGTCTATGTGCTTAACTATGTGTTGTTTATACTTGAAATGTTCGTTAGAAAATGCTTATTCTAAATTGCTATGTATGTTGCCGTTAACATTGCCTAAATTCAATATGTCTTTATGTTTTGTGTATACTCAGCATTTTTGTCTCCTTATCGCGAAGCTTTTTAGTCTTGTAAACACCATAGATCTTCTTACACACAACCGTGTGTATAAGGTACCCTTGTTCCTTCACCACGAAACCACCATGTGACCATATGTATAGGAATTTATGTTCATTCAGATTCTTTCATGTTTTTCATTATGAAATGTTTAAAAACGAAGTTTGCTGATAGAAATTTCTGAGCAGTTCAGAGAGACCGC